CTTCAATGCGTAACGCGTCATCGTGTATCAAACACAGTCAACTGGTTTTATTGCACAAATAATATAATTCCACATGGGTCCTCGTTCAACGAGACTATCCCGAGGAATCGAATAAATAATTGAGCATAATTTAATCACGAAATTTCTAATTCTTGATAAGTCTCACCCACTCGTTAGATGGAATATTAAATAGGTTAATGTTTATTGTACAGAAAAATATTCAGAATTCTTACAGATGTGTCTGAGATGAGGTGAATTAAAATATTGCAAAAAATAACCCATCCACCCTGCATGTGTATATTCTGTAAGAGTTCTGTACAATAATTTCTGTACGAGTATCATTGCTCTATTAAATAAGCCTACGTTTGAGATCTAACCAGTTATCAACTTCATTTATGGTATAAATAATTAATAAAATATGTGTATTATTCGTACACGTAATAACTAATAATGACATATTACAATTTATATAAGTTAGATAAGAAACTCACGTTTCTTCCTACCAAACTCTTTCACATGCTTACACCAACTTTCTTTAGGTCTTGTGTGATGGTCCCCTTCCCTCTTCTCTAATCCCATAACATAAAAGGGTTGTTGTAGTTAATTAATGTTTTGAAGACTAAGGCAATAGAGTTCAACCCTAAAATCTTGGAACGTTTGATACAACTCTATTGTATGATCGTAGAATACTTTACACATGTTTGACACCTGGCCACGAGTAAAAAATTTGAGGTCGGATGGTTCAATGTCAGATCGGGCACTTGAATGAGATGTTTAAATAAGTTTAACCAGGCTCCAAGCACTTATAACACGAGATTTTGTGAGCCAAATTCGTAGATTGACTACCACATGTCAAGACTAAACAATAGGGATGACCATGATGCGGGACATGGTGGGGGTTGCCAGTATCAATCTCGTTGTTGTTGAATTTAATTGTAATCATGCTAAAAATCAAAAATCACGAGTTAATAAATTGATAAATCGAATTTCATGCTCGCGGAAGCCATCGTTGATATAAATAATAGCAGCTAGATCCTTCCATCATTACTTCTCACAAAATATTAACTGTTAATGGGGCGATCTAATAAAACAATATAGAGAGGAGAGGGGACCTAGCTTTATATAGGAAATTATTGAGCTGTCCCTTTATGATTGAAACTCTAATTAGGGTTTAAATATATTTTCGGCCCCACATACTTAAAATTATCACATTATATTTAATATAACCCATAAGGTGTAAAATGTTCAATTGATCACTTAATGAATTTGGCTCAATCACAAATATCATTATGAACCACCGTAAAATAAACAATCAAATGAGAAATCCACATTAGAATTATTCCAACAGTTAGGTCACAAATTTTTGGAGGTAGGATTAAAAAATCCCCATTGACCATCTTGTTAAATTATTTAAAATTATTTTTTAAAATTTTTTACACATGATTCAAATTGAATATATTAAAGTAAATAGATTAGTTCGAAAAATTCGGGTAGAGACCATCATCCTTCCTTCTACCATTTGCGCAGTGCAATGCAGGGAGAGAGGGAATTTTGTTATTTCAACTTAACCATCTAAATTCGTCCATAAATAGAAGTTTTGGTTATAGAACTTAGTGTATGCACAATATTCCCTCCACATATATACAGTGCGCGAGCATCGTTATGGTCTACAGCGAATTGATTTTTTGATTAGCATCACAATACAAAAATCAACAACTTAATTGTGAATCGATCAATTTTAGGTCAAAAAATCGAAAACCATTAAAAAAATATAAGAACCAGGCCATTCATTTAAAATTTTATTTTCTTCAATCTTTAATATTATATTTACAAAAAGTTCCACTTTGACTTGACTTCTTTACCCCTTTATCTCATACGGGTTGACATCTTGAACACCTCAATTTATTAGGGTGCATTTGGTTTGTGCTTTCAAACCGTTTTATGTTTTCAGTTTGCAAAAATTGAAAACGTGTTTGATCTGATATTTTTTAAGATCCATTTTCGAAAATAAGGTTAAACACTTAAACTTATAACATAAAATTCAAAATGCATTTTTTTGACATTTTTAGTGTTTAGCAATGTTTTAAAAATCAATTCAACCATCGACCCGAAAAAGAAAAAGGATCGAGGATCAAAGGGTTGAACCGGTGATTA